AACTGTGAACCCGGGAGCTGTGAGGTCACAGTTTTCCGGGATGTCATTCAAAGGAGAATTGTATTCGGTTCTTCAATTTTAATGATGTTGTGGCATTTGTTTCTCTTAATTTTTTTTTTAGGTGTAGCACGAAGCAGTGATTGGATTAATGTCAGTTTATGGTAAAGCAATTACATTGTTAAAAAAATAAAAAAGAAAAGAAAATCCGGGTGGGGGATGGTGGTTGACAGTCAGTATGAAAAATTGTCAGGTTGTCCGGTGCTCTACAAAGCAGTCATCTATGACCATGAATTTGAATTTGGAATTAGAACCTCATCTCCGTTTTGTATGCCAAAACTTCAATATATGGAGAGTCACTGAAGTTTCCCGCCAGCTCATCAGAACCTGGTTGCAGAGGCATCTGGCTGAGCTTGTCGGCGCCAACATATGCAGTTGTTTCATAATGACTATAATCACAGCAGATAAGCAACTAGTGCATGGGAAGAAGAGCGGAGATTAGATGGTGAAAGGAACAGAAGGAGAGAAAAAAGTAATTGAATCTTTTGGCGAGGCGTTTAGATGAAATCCATTGGCTATGTGGGAGATGCTTTTCAGTGAATGACATTTAGATTACAGAGGTGCCTTGTTCGCCATCACGGTCAATACCTCCTACTTTACAATGGCACTACTCCCAGTCTTTGCAACACATACTCTCGGCATAGATCTTCGAGTGTGGATATTCTCAGGAATTAGGTAGGAATGACTGGTTCTGTATTACTGTTTAAATATATAGCATAGCAAGTAGTGCTAAAAAGTAATACGACCACTTCAGTATGGTGAGTTCCTGAAATGGCATATCAAAATCCTGCTCATATTGTATCATATCAGATCATAAGATCTTTTCCAGTTAGCATATTGTTAAATTTGCTTACCACCCATTACACAATCAAACTGAAGAACAACAGGATGTTGAACAACTGGCATGCATACTGTCGTATGGTTACTAATCGTTGCTAGAAAAACATTCACATGATTCATTTGGGCAATGCAAACTTCCTGAGTAAAGTTCAAATTAAAAGGTTATGCTATGGTTACAATATGTTCCGACCGTCCCGAAAATTATATTTCAGGCCATCGTGGACATAACAGGATGGATGTGACACAATGCATGGGGACTACATGGGAACCTTGACAGTCCATGATTGCCATGGATGCTTGATCAGATTTTTAAACCATCCAATTTTTTTGGAGATGAGAAGCTTTGTCGGCCAGAGTTAAACAGTTTTAACACAGGAAAAAACAGACAGTACATAATAGGGATTAACAAAACTTGGAGGGAGTTCAATGTAGGACAGGAAGGATATGAACTCTACTTTCCCGGCATCCCTTTGTCCTTTTGAAGTTTCGTAATGTTCTACTGCATTTTGTTACGTTTTTGCCATGTTGTGTCACGGTTCTCAGGTATGGTAGATGTTTCATTGCGTTTAATCACGGCATTTCCCAGCGTGTGGCGATTTATGGCGCCTTGGCAATAGGACATGTGTTCTACTACGCTCTGACAGAGCACCTGGTCTGTAATATTTAGAATTTGAACAGGTCGTCTCGTCTGATCAAAAATGTAGACAAAGGGAACAGTCACACACAATGGAGGCCCATCAGCAGCTCTTTCTGGGCTGACAGCGGAACATCCGGGCCACGGATGCTGCAAGGCAACATGGCACAAACGGAACTTAAAATTACATTTCAAGCAGAATGGCCGAGATAAGGCCACGATGATATCGAGTCACTTTTACAAGCGCAATATTGTGCGTATTGCGATATCTTTTTGTTGTTGTGATATGTGCCCTGTGATTTTCTGGGAACCAGTGCAGGGCTTACCCAACCTCTTCCCCAAATTCAGTTGGGATAGGCTTCAGTTCACCCATAACTGTAATGAGGATAAGCGGTATAGAAAAAGAATGGCTCTGTTCACTCACTGGACATCCCGATGGGTACAAATAGCACATTTGAATCCAATGTGTCAAAAATTACATGTATTCCCATATAAGGACATTTTCGTAGTAGTCATTATATTAAACTTAAAATAAGGTTGGACTTCTCAGAAAATGCTTCTTATTTGGCATTCTATTATTGCTTTAATTGTGTTTCTGATCAAGGAATTGATAGAACATACTTAAAACGTAAATATGTAATTAACTCTCTTTACGGTCAACAATCAGTGAACTGTTGAACCTACATCAACTTAATGACCCCACACCCATGCAGCTTTCAGCCATCGCAGCTCTTTTATTGACACAGACCAGCGTCTCCTTAATGTTCGAGGAATCACATATCGCCTCGGTGACACCTTTCAAATGTATCACAGATTAATGATATATCTCAGTGAGAGATCTACAAAAACCATTAGTAAGCCTGACATCCTGACGTCAGATTTTAAAAAATTTCCAAGTAATCTTTTTGATTGATGAAAGTGTGTCCAGGTTCATCGGGAGTGATTCCAGATTTATCACATCCTGGTTAGAATTATTAATGATTTTCAATTTGTAAATCTGATGTCGCCGTGTTCAGAGGAGCTGCGCGGAATCACCAAAGGCCGATATCTGAGTTTGAGGTTTGCTCCCAGAGCGTGATTACTTTATCAAAATATTGCAATCTTATATTTCACTTAGTTTCCACTCTTGCAGAGGCATCCACGCCACCTTCATTTCTCCCACCTCACGTACGACTGCCACACACATTTTTCAAAAACTGCTCTAAACACCAGAGCGGCCACGGCTAATCTTCTGAAGTTACACATTGCACTATTAGTTCCAAGTTCCTGACACATGCACTTTTAAGGACCTACTGCGTCAACATGTCAAATGAGGGTGGCCCGCAGACGGCTGTACATTGCAATCTTTCTCACTGTTGATGAGCAGCACAGCAAAGATCATCATCACTTTCCAAAGATAGCCAGGAACTGTTGAGCTTTGCTTTAAATGTCACGTCAGTGCATCTATGCCATAGTGCGAGTGTGTTCGGAGGGCAATCAGTTCTGTGTGAGCACTCCTTTGTGTGGCATATGCGCACTCAGACGTGAATAAGAATGGCACTTTGCAAGTAAGCACGATGAACATGTGTGACATGTGTGGCCTTGGCACCTTTTGCTGAAATGAGCTTTTTTTGCAGCAGCAGCCATCTGAACAAACTACTTGATGTGCCCAATAAAACTCTCACGTGCAGGCTGGCATGCGGCGATGACTTTAAACGCTCTACTCTAGAAATAATAATTTCTCCAACCTTTTGTGACAGTCGCTGTTCACATATTTACTTCTCTATGGTACATCTCACTTTGATGGGAATCAATTGATGTGTGAAAGTGGTTGATAACCCTCTCCGATCCTTGTCCTGTTCTCAGATAAATACGTCTTTTCCATGCCACATCCATGATTCATTGCAGATCGTGCCAAAATGAATGTGCTAGGAAAAGCATCTCTTTACTTATTCAAAAGACTCATTGTTTCCCCTTCGTTGAAAACCAAAGACATGGCAGGGACACTGTATTACAACCAATGGGCTGTGTTAAATAACACTACGGATTAGAAATTACGTGTGGTATGCACATACTGTATAATAAATACATTTAGGAAATATAGACGCTAATTTAGGTGATGCTGAGGCTTTGTTAAAGAAAGTCTAAAAAGAAAGGTAAAAAAAAAAAAAAAATCAACAGCCGAATCCATTCAGAGCAGAAGTGTAAAAAAAAGTGTTTTCTCAGGGTCATATTCTGTATTTCTAGTATTTCTTGGTTCTGTACAGCAACAATCTAATGATGCCAGCCTTTCAGCAAGCTCTTGGCTGACAAATAGCTACGCGCAAAAGCACATATTCTCCCTTTTAAACTGTTTTGTATGGATTGAAGAAACCTGATTTTACGTCTTAATTAGTGGACCGGATATTGTGACTTTCCGACAGAATCAGATTACCAGTTACCTGGTTTACTCAGGTCACATGCTACCATGGGCCAAACCGATACCAGTCTTATTTTGATTGCAAGTTGAAATAGAACAAGAATAAAAAGCAAAGCGTAGTATAAGGTATTTGTTTTCTGACTGGCTTTGTCTGCAGCAATATTCAAAGTATAGGTGCTCTTATTCATATACAGTAGTTGAAAATTTCTGTCAGTGCATGGTTCTCAAAATGTGCATAGTAACACCTAAAAAATACTCACCACAATATTGAACCCATATCAAAAAAAAAAAATGCAGGCGAGGGCCCAAGTGTTCATCAAAAATGAGACGGAGGTTTTGGTTCTAAAACATATGTGTAATATTTTATTACATCACTGTAACATTATGCAGAGTCCGAACATTAAAGACATTTGAAAGTTATCTTGTATGTAATGTGTTAATGTATCTGAAATGTGGAAAACGCAAAACAGCTCAGGGATTATTTAATCAAGCTCTCCACATTTTTTAGAGGATCGGCATGTGAAGATCAAATACCCCTATGAGGCAGTTTTCTCTTGATGTCAAAAGGAGCTGCAAGATGGACACACGACGCTTGGGTGACGTGTAGTTGTTGTGGTTGGAGAGACTAGACTGCAGAAAGTAGCAGGACTTCATTAGTGTCAGACAAGCAATGATAGTAATGAATTCCAGCGGTTTGGGAGGACCCTGCCAAGGTCTACAAATTCATGCAATGAAGAGCTGTGTGCGCTGATTGCAGATACAAGCCAAACACAGTGCACAACCTACTCGTAGCGTAAGCCATCTCTTAAATGATTACTAATCAAATCCCCCCAAATTTCATGTCCTGGTGAATTTTGTAAATGACATCACGGCTCACATGCAATCCCTAAGACACCAATTTATTGCCAAGTTATATTTTGTTACGAGGTTGTGAGGCAATGGAACCTGATCATTTTGTCCATGTACAGTAAATGACCTTTTATTGAGAATGTCAATAGGAGGATCTGGTTACCTACAGTGTGTTGAGCGAGGGGGAGGAACTTAATTGCTCCCAGTGAGTGCAGTCTGAGGACTTGATTAGACCTTGAACCACTTCTCATGTTTTTCATTTGTGTGGTGACGACCTTCCTCCTGACTCAAATCAGCCTGGGCTCATTCCACGTCTAGCGCTCTCTGGAGATTCATGCCCCAGCGACTCTGTCTGCTCCGAGAGCTGACTTCATTCTGGTAACTCTTACTCTTACAATACCTGTTAGCTCTATGAATAACATACACCCCATTATATTAATACTGGGGGATTTTTTTTTCTCCAAGTTGAGGAAACAAGAGTACTTAAATGTCAGTTTACTGACTCATATGAAAATGGAAAACCAATTCCCAAATCATGTAAATGGTAACCTAAAACTAATGTGGTTGTATTTGTAAAACATAAGGTTTGTGAACATGCAGACTAATGACACAGATGTTGTCATTTAAGGGTATTTTATGTTTTTTAAGATCAGGAGCTGCAACAGAAAAAAAAGAGAAGGACATGGAGATCACGATTACAGCACCCCATTGACCCACCTGCCGTTAGCAAGATGAATTAGCTGAGTCCATGCTAGTGACAACAGCTACAGAGGGGAAAATGATCCTGGTGCCGCAAAGACTTGGACTCCCAGACAGCACCAGGAAGCAGACGGGGGCCAATGGACCCCAGGGAAAGGGAGAAAGACATGAATAAGATAAACACCTTCACTAAGGCTGCAATTGTGTAATGGTGACAGAGGTTGCTCACACGCTATAAAATGAAAGAGAACACTGCAACACAGCAAGTCACCACACATTTTCTTTTTGAGAAAATGAATGTGGAGAAATGTGTGATATCAGAAGATTTTAGTAAATGTGAGAACAGTATAGCAGTATTTTTGTATGTGTAGTTTAACAGGCTACCAGCCATTCCCATTTTAATTATTATTATGACAAACCAATTGGATGTAATTCCTGCAAAACCAAATAATCAAATCGGTTTTCTCGAAATAAATATACACCAGAGGGTTTCATTTGTATTTGCATGATGGCAGTGTAAAGAAAAAAAAAAATCCACATTAAAACAGAATATCCTCAGATAATAATCCGATCTCTTCCAAATATGGATAAAATAGTTAGTTCTGAGTGAATTACTCAACTGCACAGAAAAATATGAAATGAATAAATAAAATGGGTCCATAGTCATTACCGGATGTTCCCTTGCTTCACATACTTTTTGTTCATGTATTAACTGTAAAATATGAAATCATGTGACGTGATCTCAAAAGTCTACACACCACTGTTCAAAATGGCAGGTTTTTGTGAGCATGTGGCGGTGTTCAGAATGAACCAATCGAGGGGTTGAAGCACGTAAAATTTGTCGTAGTCTACGCTAAGGTGATGATAGTCAAGTTGAATTCAACCAATTCAAGTAACTCAACCGCAGGGTCACAATTTGCTACAGTGTGTCATTTTAATATATCACTGAGATAAAAATGACAGGAGGCTATGCTTTGCAGTAATGTATTGTAGCAAACTTGCAGTCATGTCGCTCAGGTGGCTGCAAGAGTTAGATGAGATCCAACCATCTGTGAGAACATGAACTTGGCTGATTTGTGATTGGATGAGTGAGAGAAACACTGATTGGATGTTTTCTTTGGTGATGACATAAACAGTTCATTTTGATGATAAAGAGGCACTTGGTCGACCACTGCTTGTCCTCATTTTATTGTCTAAGCAGACGGAGTATATAATCTTTACTTTCACGATTACAGTAGGTTGTTTTGTGAATTAGCTGATGGCTGATGAGAGTAGTTAATGCTGTTTGTCAGCTAGTGTTAGATGGGCATGCATAGCCTGTGTGTTTTTGTTTCCTGTATTTGAGGATGACTTGCATATTTTGCAAGTGACCATCCTACCAGTCTCATTTTGAGTAAACTATTGCCAATCGCTTGCGGCATCACTGCTAGTTCGCTGTGCGAACCCACTACCTGTTAAACCAATAACATTCAAACTCATGTTAAATGGGAGTCAGTGCACCACTGCCACCATTTGAACTGATGAGCCCCAAACAAAATTTTGCTGCTCTCGTCATCTTTTCCAGACCCCTTTTATTTATTTATGTATGTATTTATTTATTCGCTTTCTAGCAGAAGCCCGAAGGTTCTGTGCAAATATTGAATGCTATATGGGACTGTTCCATGACTTAGACCCACAGACATCACAACAGGACAGGCAACCCAGGCAATCATTTGATACAGTGTTTTCACACACCAAATAAACAAGTCTATAATGCATATACTGTAAATATTGCTCATTACGTCAAATTCCTAATGTAATTTAATGATTCCTCTGGGTAGCTTGCTTAAGATGAGACACAACAATTTGAAGGTGCTTGCTCGCTAAGGTTGCAGACAAGTACTATATGTCCTCTATAGGACTGATCTGTATTTGTTCTGCTCTGAATCATAGGTGGCCCAAAGCTGTCTTGATAAATAGCTCCTCCAAGCAAGTATGGTGTATGCTCTCTGACACCATAGGTCACATAACCTTGTTGTCAGGACTAAGACTAATGCAACGTGAAGTGTCAAGTTATTATACTGAAACAGGACTGTGGAGTGCAACCTGAGCCACTGTGGTGATAGCAAGTGGGAGAACAAGCCAAGGTGAATGTAAAAAGGTCATAAAAGCGGGAGATACAAAGCAAATGAGAGGGTATGGACAGAAAACCCTCAGTACTAAGTGGTTCTTGTTGGAGCGGGAAAGAAGCACCATGGGTCTTGGTGGCCGGCGTAAATCATAATTGGCTGCCGCTGCATGCACAGCCCAATGCTGACTTTATAGTCACACATCATTCCAGGCGGGCAATGTGTGTGTTTATTTCAGGAAAGCTAAATAATGCAGTAATAATCCTCCTCGCCCTGTCTCATGAGCAAATGTCTGTGCACCTGTCAAGAATCTGCAGTGCGCTGTCTATTGAGAGAGTTGCAAGAAGAAAACACGGTATTATTACAGATCTCTGTACTGTAAATTGTCTGCAGATGGCAAAAACAAGGCACAGCTGTTAATACAGTGTGAAACACAAAATATGAAATATAAATATGTAGCCAGGGACTGAGAACAAACTGCACGCACTAATCTAATGACTTCCCATTACACTACACCAACACTGCACTAGATGAATCAGGGAACGCCTGATCCAGATTTTCTCGTCGTTTCTGGAGAATACCAAGTCGGTTCTTTCCAGTTTTTGATAACAAGTTCATCTTGGAAAATCAAGTGAGTCTCATTAAAAGTTAAAGTTAAGGTTTTTTTTTGTTTTTTTTGGTGTAATTGTGCTATGAGGGTTTAAATGGCACAATGCACTCTGTTTTAAGGCCCAATGCAAGTCTAACATGAGGCGACTAAATCTAATAAAACAGCTTGGCAAAGTTAAAAACAGGCAATTTGTGCCATTGTGGGTGTGAACTCAGCCAACTTGATTCGCCACCCATGTAAGCGGTTCCTCTCATTCCCTTTAAAATCAACATGTGAAAGGAGCAGTCCTTGACATGGCGGAAGAAGAATCAGATTTGCTTGCATCCATGCAGGAGGGTCGAACATGCAAAGTAATTGCAAGCAGACCTCCATGGGCGGATACTGGACTGTTGGCCATGGAGATCACAGATCTGCACTGTGAAGTGTGCACTTTGAGACCGCTGTCCATCCCAGTCGTTCGTGTCCGTGTGTGACACCACTCCCTCACTGCTGTGCCACGACGAGGGGGCGTGAAAAATAAATGAAGATAATAATATTAATTAAATTATCCCTATAATGATTCAGAGGTCTCGATGCACACTGTTGTCATATTTATAAATGAAAACTGATTCGAATATGACTCAATAAGTAGCATGAATTTGTTAATGTATGGCCACAGGGCACCATCTATCTCTCAGCACTATGCGATCAAGAAAGTAGCTCGACTGATGTGATGTTGTCATCAGTGACACTGTGACCACACTAGTCTGAATGTAGTTCAATTGCCGTATTGGCCCGAATATAAGACGGTGTTTTTTGCATTGAAATAAGACTGAAAAAGTGGGGGTCGTCTTATATTCGGGGTCTAGACATTATACCCATTCACGACGCTAGATGGCGCCAGATATCATTGAAGCGAATGCTGAACTTGACTCCCCAGGCCAAAGTGAACCCCTGTCACAAAGAATAAAAATAAAAATAGCGGTAGCACGAAGAAGAAAAAAAAATAGCAGTAAGAAAGAAAAGAGAAGAAAATAATAGAAGAGATAACAGAAACTGGAGAAACGTAGTGACAATCTGGAGAAAAGTGGGTCGAAGATCGGCCAGGTTAACCGCCAGCTGAGGAGAAGTTATGATGTAATTTACATTTCAAAAACCAGAAGCCATTTATTTATGAATGTGATTGCACTTTAATTTACATATTTAAATGTTCAGATATTAAGATTTGAATGAGGCAAATAACATGCTTTTTCTCTCAAATATATTGTTATAATCATTTGTTTCAGATGTACTGCAATTATTTTCTGTATAAAAACTAATTTGGTGTTCAAAAAGTCTTTTTTCAAACTTGAGTCTTGAAAAAGAGGGGGTCGTCTTATAATCAGGGCCGTCTTATATTCGGGCCAATACGGTAATAATGCAGCTACTTCCCAACTAATAAGTATTAGTTGGCGTAAGACAAGAACAGGACGATGTAAAATACTCATATACCTTAGTTCCTAAATCTGTTTGAACACCCCCCTCCCACACACACGCACACAACAGTAATATGGTGCAATTATACATCTTGAATTTCAATATTCACAACCACTCGAGTGTAATACATTGTAACACGGGTCTGTGAACAATGCACAATTAGCAATAAATCAAATTAGGAAAAATACATCTTTTATAGGTAATTTAATAAGACCTCTAATTCTATACAGTAAATGATATCTTTTTTCTGATTTAATCGACACTTGCTTAGAGTGCGTATGGCTAATGCAATTCTACATTTCCATCTTTAATGATGCATGCTTTTCCTAGTGCATTTTACTTATATTGTCATCTTTAATGAACCTATGTGAATTCTCTAATAGGTATAATTTCAGAAAATGGATTGTCTTTATTTGAATGGTTCTGGGGCTAATTTTGCTGAGTACAGTACTTAAAAGCAAATGCTTGAAGTTGAGAAAGTCAATTTATCTATTTGTAAAAGTATATTGAGCTAATAGATTCTAATGCAAATGGCCAAGAAGAGCCGTAATGGACCTTAAGCTCCAAATGCTTTCATATTCTGTTTAGTATATGAACATACTTATGCACTGTGTTATTTGAATTTGTCATTTAGCGGGTGCTTATCAGTTGAGAGCTCTATGTAAAGACATAAAGGACAGAGGGAGCTATAGTAGAAAGACAAAAATGTAAAGGGCAATCTTTGCTCTATATCGAAATGAATCAATAAGACCCCATAATTCCCACCTCCAGCATGACTTTTACCCATTGCACCAGGCAAGGAGCGCAGAAAAAGAACTAGCAATGTGTTCTGAGCACAGGCAGATAGATATTGCACTCCGCGGACATTTGTAGTGAACGTCATCGTACTTCATTCACAAATGTGACAACAGTGTAAATCAAATCCTCTGAATCATTGTAGAAATCAATTCATTGAACACATGATTATTTTGATCATTTTTAGAATGATTTTAAAATGCCAACCCATCTGGCCATGGCACAGCTGCGAGGAGTGAAGGGCAGGTCACACTCCACCCATACGAACAATCTGGGTGGAAGGCAGCAGAGATGGGGTGTAACTACCCCGGTCAAGGATGACGCTTCGTACTGATGTCCAAAAACGTTTAAT